TTTAGGCTTATGGAGAAGGAAAAAATTAGATAACTAACTCAGATTGTCATGACCCCATTCCGCCCCTAGTAGAAATGGTGCCGTGATGGCCAGTAATCCGAGATTACCGAAGGCCAACTTTCAAAGTTCACACACAATCAGAGTTAATTATGGGGCTAACATGTGCGGAAGCAATATATACAAATCTAATTAGTCCATAGAAGCAGTGTATAAGTTAAATGGAATGGCATACATCTTTACATAGCTTTAATACAACAAAAATGAAGTACAAAAATACATCTTGACCAGAAGGCTTCTCAGCCATCAAATCAAGAATACAATGAAATACAACTAAGAAGCATAATCTTCAAGATGCGGCAAAAGTGCATAATCCAAAACAAGTAGCAAGTACATCTAGGCGTCACCGCCGTCCTGCTCGTCACCTACATATATATAGAGAGGGGTGAGCTTGGATACTCAGTGAATGGTATAAATAATAAAGGGTTTTACATGAATGATATTGATATCCGAAGTCTTTATCAATCAAGGCACATCACATCTTGTACAAAATCCAAGGGCAAATCAAGTTTATCCAACAAATCTTTCAAGTTCCAAGGGATAACATTAACAAAGGTTGTGCTACAAATGCTTATAGTCCCCTAGCACGTACGGACTTTCAAAGATTGTGCTGCAAATGCTTATAGTCCCCTAGCACGTACGGACTTTCAAAGATTGTCAAAACCAAAGCTAATACTTGATACACAAAATAGGGATAGTCATTCATGCTTAACAAATACTTTTCCAAAACAAGCAAAGCAAAACTTTATCAAAACTTAATAACATAACTTTATTAAAAATACCACTCACATAGTTCTTCAAACGTCGGGGTCAAGGCAAGTCCGCGTCCTACAAACACATGGCAAAGTCTATTGAATGCACTTCTCAAAATAGTTCTTCAAATGTCGGGGTCAAGGCAAGTCCACGTCCTACAAACACATGGCAAAGTCTATTGAATGCACTTCTCAAAATAAGTCTTGCATGCATGCAAATGATCTCGGCCTTCTTCAAAACTAAGTCAATCAAATTGAAACACAGTTTCTTATCCTTAGGAAAACACGCTGGGCAGCTACTAGGTCTAGGCCGAGGTCCCACACCTCCTTGCCGAGGTGTGGCCTCGATGGCCACAGTCAAGGAAATGGAGTCGGGAAAATCAGGGTTTCCATCTCTTGAAGAACGTGACGAACATGAAGAACATGAACGTGGGGAAGATGAATGCAAAGATTCTTTTTTCAATTCAAAAACATGGACCTGGGTACCCATATTCAAGGATCTTGTGAGAACAAACACAAAAACATGAATCTTAATGCAAACTTTCGGATCCAACAAGACTTTTTCTTCAAGAACATATGAACACTATTTTCTCTTTCTAAAACCAACTTTAAATCAATGCATGTTGTGCAGAACAGGTTCGATCGTGCAATGCAGCTAGATAAACATAAAGAACAACAAGAGTAAATCAAGAATCTAACCTCAATACACGAATCTAACAGTTTGACCTCTAGGAATCAAGCTCGAAAGCCCACTCTCTCACTCTAAAACTTCTTCTTCTTCCTAGAGCTTCTCTCTCTCTACAAGGCAAAGATATAATACAAAATGTATATTTTCTGGGTCTGTCGGCTGACTTAACCCTCTGCAGGGGTACGTGGCAACGGCTGGTTGGTTCTACTCAGAAAGGTGACTGAGTGAAAAGACAAGACTATGACAAAGTGTACTCAACAAGCTAGGCAGTAAGAGCACTCCGACAAGTAACGACATCGGCTAACAACAAGACTTCGGCAAGTGAGGGGCAAGGACATCGGCTAGAAAGGACAACACTTGGCCTAGCTGTGCCACACCTTGGCCTAGATGTGCCACACCTCGGTCTAGGTCGTACCAATCCAGGAGTAAGGTCACTTGGGTTCAAGGGTAACATCTCGGCCTAGATAATACACATCTCGGCTTCGGCGATGAACACCTCGGCCTAGATAGTGACATCTCGGCCAACATGTCAGAGCGAAGGTGGAGTCAACCAAAGTAAATTCCAAGATGGTCTTAGATGCAAGAGGTTCAAAACTGACCTAGGCTCAGTGTGACCTCGGCTAAACCCATATGAATGCATATGAGTATGGTTAGGACAGTGTAAGGGTTATTACACAGATGAATTTAGATGAATAACACAACGAATATACCAATTGATCTAGCAAGACTATATTAATAAAAATCAGTCGATGATTCCTTTTAGCTTAACATATTGTTATTTCAACTAAAATAGGCAAATAATGATTTATGAGGATATAACACACAATATCAATTATACAGCAACAAAGTGAGTTTATCAATTAGCTTTTTCGCACTCTTAACGCCCTTTTTGCTTTTTCGCACCCTTAACGCCATTTTTCGATTAAGTTTAATGCATTTTTAGCTCTAACTCCCAAATTACTCGTGCTAATTACATTTCGTCTGTTGTCACAGGTCCTATTTGTCACAGGCAATGTAGCCGTGACATCCGTAACATGGTTCGGGGGCAGTTTCGCAGTTTCGCCCCTTTAACGCCAATTTTCGGTTAAGTTTAAGGCGTTTTCGGCTCTAACTTCCAACATACACGTGCTAATTACATTCCGTCTATTGTCACAAGTCCTATTTGTCACGTGAAAGCTGGCCGTGACATTTGAACGGTGGTTCAGAGGCTGTTTCGCAGTTTTGCCCCCTTAACGCCCTTTTTCGGTTAACTTGAAGGCGTTTTGGGCTCTAACTCCCAGCCTACACGAGCTAATTAAATTCTGTCTGTTTTGACATGTCCTATTTGTTATAGGGAAGGTGGCCTTGACATCCGAACAGTGGTACGAGGGAGGGCTGTTTCGGAGTTTCGCCCTCTTAACGCCCTTTTTCGGTTAAGTTTAAGGCGTTTTCGGCTCTAACTTCCAACATACACGTGCTAATTACATTTCGTCTATTGTCACAGGTCCTATTTGTCACGGGAAAGCTGGCCGTGGCATTTGAACGGTGGTTCAGAGGCTGTTTCGCAGTTTTGCCCCCTTAATGCCTTTTTCAGTTAAGTTTAAGGCATTTTTGGCTCTAACTCCCAACCTACATGGGCTAATTAAATTCCGTCTATTTTGACAGGTCGTATTTGTTATAGGGAAGGTGGCCGTGACATCTGAACAGTGGTTCAGGGGCTGTTTCGCAGTTTCGCCCTCTTAACGCCCTTTTTCGATTAAGTTTAAGGCGTTTTCGGCTCTAACTCCCAACCTACATGGGCTAATTAAATTCCGTCTATTTTGACAGGTCGTATTTGTTATAGAGAAGGTGGCCGTGACATCTGAACAGTGGTTCGGGGGCAGTTTCGCAGTTTTGCCCTCTTAACGCCCTTTTTCGGTTAAGTTTAAGGCGTTTTTTGCTCTAACTCCCAACCTACACGTGCTAATTACAATTCGTCTATTGTCACAGGTCCTATTTATGATGGGGAAGGTGGCCGTGACATCCGAACGGTGGTTCAGGGGCTGTTTCGTATTGTCGCTCTCTTAACGCCCTTTTTCGGTTAAGTTTAACGGGTTTTCGGCTCTAACTCCCAACCTACACGGGCTAATTAAATTCCGTCTGTTGTCACAGCTCCTATTTATGATGGGGAAGATGATCGTGACATCCATACGATAGTTCGGGGGCTGTTTCGTATTTTTGCCCCTTTAACGCCCTTTTTCGGTTAAGTTTAACGCGTTTTCGGCTTTAACTCCCAACCTACACGGTCTTATTAAATTCCGTCTATTGTCACAGCTCGTATTTATGATGGGGAAGGTCACCATGACATCCATACGGTAGTTCCGTCTGTTGTAAAGTTTTGCAAATCAGAAAGAGCATATATAAGTAAAAGCAGTTCCGAGTACAAAAATATCAATGGATAGGTTAAGTAGATAAATGATTCCCATCTTTGGTGAGAGCAACCAAGCTTAAAAAAAGTTTTACAAATCACATGAGGTCTTGCAGTCGCTACTGATCAAAAATGATATAATTCCCACGAATGGAGACAATGTTGAAACCCAAAAAGAAAAGCCAAACAACAAATTTTATAGCATAAGCCTTCAACATTTTCAGATTATTCCTCAAAAATTCTTCAATTCCTTAGCAACCAAAGAACAGCACAGACTACTTATTTCCAAATAACATGGGCCTTTGAATTATAACCAAAATCCTTGAAATCAATAAAAAGCATCTTCACAGAGAGGGGGTAAATCCAAACCACCTTGGCCACATCAGGCACTCGCCACCATAAGGACAATGCTACAAGGGAATACAAAAATAGATGATCTAGCTATATCATTATATATCTTCACATAGCAAGTTTTACTTCTCATGTTTTCCTCATGCTTTTTTTTTTTTATTGGGGAGCAATAGTAAATGTGAAAATAGTAAAAACTTAGAATTGGGTACTACTAATTTTAATTTCTTGCTAGGCAGTAGTGATGATATTTGAAGTTAGAAACCACACCAATTTGTCGATGGTGGATGGAATATTTGTGGTCATTTTCTACATACAACTCACTGTTTACTAAGCCCAAAACCATCATAAGAAGGAAAAGTTATGGAACAAACCACACATAAATAAATAAATAAAAATTGAGTCCAGTTGTGTTGGATGTCCTAATATAGCAAAGATAAGTTATAGTACCCACAAAAGCAGATTATAATGAACAAAGTCAGAAACTATGTCCAGCTGTGCACTATCTACCCAGTTATCTTCTTTTTCTATTTTTAATAAGACATCGTAATAACTCCTTACTTAGCTTCATGTACTTCAAGCAAAATACAATGAGTAATTATGATGAAATCCCAGTTAAATCATACCCATAAGGAATTTAGATGAAGCAAAGTGAAAAATAAAAGGCACACATGAAGAAAATATGCAAAGATGTTACTGGAATAAAAACACTAGTGGTTCAAAAAACAAAGAACAATAACTGTGCACATATAGTGATTAGTTTACAACACCTTGCTTTAGGGCAAACGGCTGCTGGAGATAATCAAAAGCTTCAGGAATTAGTTCTACATTCTCCAATAATACTTTTTCTGCATGAGAAAATCATCAAAAAAATTTCAATGCACATGCCATCTAAATGTAAAAAGAAACATCTTTGTACATATCAACGTAGGGATGATAACAGCAGACAAACTATTATATAAATAGATTTTAGACAGGTTGAAAAATTAATACTAATATCCATCCAAATAATAGTAATTACAAAAGAAGAGAGCATAATGATAAGAAAAGAGAAACAAATAAAATTGGTTACCATTCCATAGGCTGATCCTAAGTTGTTCCTTTTCTATATCTTTAATGTATTGGCCAAGATAACCCACAAGCAGTTGGCGAACAAGCCCTTCAAACATTGCCCTCTTTCTGAATCAAGAAACAACAAGCAACCAGAATCAACTACCCCTTCCTTCAAAACAGTAACAAAATAGTTCCAAGAGTTTGCTACGAAACACTGCTGCTCTGCGTCCATGAAATAAAATAGTTCCAAGAGTTAGAAAGTTTGAAATTTCAATTCAAAGCTCTTGTTTAAATTTGATGCAGATAATCATGATGTACAATTATTTATGATTTAATGATGATTATATCCTTTTTTAGGACAAAGAAACAGTCCTTTTTTTCTAAACTATTTTTCAAACATATAAATTCATAAAATCATGAGTTAAAATTGATAAAATAGTAAATCAACTGGCATATTTCAGCAAGATAAAAGCACGATTCTGCATGTACCATACAATTGCACACAGCTATGGCATTTTATACATCATCAAAAGATGGTTGAGATGGCGATACTCAAGGGGCACACAAAAATTATAAAAATTCCGAAATATTATCTTGGACAATGGCAAAAGTCATATGCAGAATTACTCCTTTCTAGTTACCATGTGAACGAAGGAATTTATGTACCAGAAAAAGGAGAGGGAAGCAACACTCATTTCTCTTGTTATGACTACTAGCACCTGCAAAGTCACAGCTAAAAGTTAAAGATCCACATACCTTGATTGCAGCTCCAGACTCACTTCTGATCCTCAAAATGTTGGAACCACATCTCCCAATCAAGCCACCAACAATAGTTTTTGAGACCATCATCTCCAGAGTTACATAATCAGCTACAAGATTGGTTGTCCTAAAGATGATGTCGTTGTAAGGAAAAAAAATTAAATTTTGATACAGCTGCAGAATGCGACAGATCAATAATACCAATATTTTAATCAAAAAGCATTGAATAACCTGAAGTTGGGTCTACATATTGCTGAGGTGGTCGGTTGAAGGCAAGATTATACGCTGGATTTAGTTGAACTACTTGTTTAGGTGGATTTTCCCTATACAAATAGAATTATTAGATATTATAAAGAAAACTAAAATGGATAGTTAAAAGACAATCACATGTAGTCAATTAAAATTTTAATATTACACCTTAGATGAGTTCCAATCTCCTCCAAAGCTTTCATTACTGCAGAAACATCTCCAGATAACTGAATTTTACACAATTGATTATCATTTCTCAGGAGCAAAACTAACAGAAGGCATAATAATCAAGCATAATGTTGAGCCCAAGAAAATTCACTATATGTTAATGAATATAATTTCATGAAAAATGATCAACATTCTAAAAATATTCAGCAATTGCAGCAGAACCTAATCCAGTGCACAATCAAGTTCCACCAATGGTGTGGGAACAAAGGGACGGTTCTATGAAGCCTTACCCTCGGTGCCCATCAATCAAGATAGCAGAGGACAGATGCATGTCATATTCTGTGTTTCCAGAAAATACCAGGTTTAAATAATAGTACTTGTGACACTAGTCCAAAGCATATACTTCCTTTTATATGTAATTTAAACCACACTTCAAGATACTTGCATATTCAGGTCAGTCAACCATTACTTTGTTTATGCAGAAGCATCAATATATTTACGTTTTTTCAGCTTAAATATTTTGGTTTGTGATTAAAAAAATAGCAGATAAGTTCTCATTCCTTGCTTCCTCAATTAAAATACCATCAAATCATTCATCCACTAAAAAGTGACAGAGGCAGAACAAGCATAATATAAAGACTAATTAGAAACATTATAAAATTTTGAAAACCTGTACTCCTGAATCTTGCTTTAAGTTCATAACTGGAAAAAAATAAAAAAAATAAAAAATCCATAGGTAACATTTTTTAGAATCAACATAATCAAGCAAACAAGAGTTGAGTTTTGACAAGAAATATAGGCTGGCAACAATTTGATAAAAGCTATGAGTGCATGTCAATATATAAAAATTGAGAAGCAATGTGGTGGGGATTAAAACATCACAGAGTTTGAAACAGTTTAATGCACTCTGTTGGGATCCTTTTTAGTGGTTGGCTTTTTAATTTTTTTAGTGACTTTTTGACTTTTTGGCTAAAAAAGTAACTTGCCGAACGAGGCCTAAGTGGTAGACAACATTTAAAATGCCAAAAGCACAGAGATGGAAAAAATTTTCAAAAGGCCCCACATTATAAGGTATATTTCAATTAAAAACGCATGAAATATTAAATTATATTCCACAAACACGATGTAAGAAATCTGGCTCTGACCCTACAAGTGCATAAAAAATTAATTTAGGGTTGACAGCTTGGCTATTCAATTTCAACCAAAACAACTGACTACCCATTAAGGGTAGTAAATTGTAAGAAGAAAAAATTAACTAATGTATATAAATACATAACCTCTTGTTTCACAGAACAGGAAAATATATATATATATATATATATATATGGAGAGGTTTCAAATTTGAATAGATTAGAAACATTATAAATTTAAATTCAGAAAGAAAAAGAAAAAGAAAAAAAAAAAGAAATCAAGGAGCATATCACATGCATTTGTTCATTGTGATGCTACAATGGATGGACCATGAGGCACATATATTGTAAAATTAGCAAATACATGAAAACTCATTACTTTGACTGGGGGCCTTTACAGATTGCATGATAAAATATATGCATTTTCTTTCATATGCATGATGTGTTAAACTCACACCATTAATGAACATGGGTATGATTATGATAACTGTGCATAACAATTTTAAAAAAATGATAACCATCACATCATTGTAATTGAACACATCAAATACATCACAGCTTTATTACATATTGAGAAATTACATCACCTTAAGAATCAAATTGGCTATTTGATGGAGTGCGTTTTCCGCATCAGAAATTGTGTTGTTGCTATCTTTAGAGCTTATAATAATTACACAGTCTTCATGTCGCTGCAAACATCAAAAGGCAGTGATAAATGTTGCCACTTTCAATAAGCAAATTATGCATAAAGTAGCCAAACAAATAGAAAATATAGGTATTCCAAATGTTCAGAACAGACTTCAATTTAGTGCTTAAAATATCAATTCATTGACTTCTTTAGCTAATAGTGGGGAGCTGCAACACATCCAAAGCTATTTTAAGACCATAAAATTCATACCCAATTATCAGCTTACTGATCCAAGCCACCAGCAGCAGCAACACACAGCCGGCAGCAACCAGAATGAAGAAGCAACAAGCAACCAGCAACACAGCAAGCAGCTACCCCTTCCTTCAAAACAGTAACAAAAATAGCAGCAGCAGCAGCATCAGCATTTAGAATCTTATAAAATAAGCCACAATTACAAGATAAGATAAGCCAAAAGCCAGAACTATATAATAAGCCACAACTTAAACAATGTAGACTAATCCAAGTGAAAACACCACCTGAACATAATGTTTGAATATACTTACCAATGCTGGTTGTTCCTAATGTCCTAATTTTCCCCCTGTTCCACAACCCCTTCCATGGGTTTGTCTCCTGGGTCTCTTACTATATACTCTCAGTATATCTTGTGTTGCCGCACGTACGACTCCCTCGCCCGCTTCTGTAGAAGCTGGCTGCACATCACCAATGGCTGCAATACAATCATTTGATACCACCTCCGGCACACCTTCACATACGGCACTAAGCTGTGAAACGCCATCATCCGCTGCATTATTGTCATGGTCTATTGCTTGGCGTCGCCCTCGCCCTCGCCTTCGCCCTCGACCTCTACTTACACCACGACGGCCGCCACAACCTCTACCCCTACCTGTCCCTCTGGTAGGTGCATGGACCTGGCCCACCTCCTCCCCGTCAATATGGAAGTCATGGGTAATGAGTGGATCAACATGGTAGGTGAAGGTTATATGTGGTGTAGGAGATGATGGTGGGGTAGGAGATGATGGTACTGTGAAAGGGTCGGGTGCGGTCAATGTCAACGCAGAGGGAATCATAGTAGACAGACATGTAGTAGACAGTGGTGCTAAGGGAGTCACCGGGGTACCAACCGCTGTCCTATATGGGGGTGGTGACCAGGAGGGGTCCAATATATGGCCATGGTTTGTGGAAATATGTTCAGACATTAGAGGATCTACCTCAGGGGCAAACTGGGATGTGTAATTGGTACATTCAGGTGGGGAAGTCTGCGATGTATGCATTGTTGTAGATGGACCATGAGGGGACAGGCCCATGGAAGGCCCCTCACCAAAGTGTTCCATATCGAAATAGTCCGATTGATGTGCATGACGTGCGGTAGGATGCGGTGGAGGCATTGATGTCGATGGCATTGATGTCGATGGCTCAGTGGATGGCATATTCGGGTGCGGCGTTGATGTCACTGTAATATCTACCTCCATATAAGGATCCTCGCCAAAGTGGCCGAAATCTATTCGGTCACGTCGGTGTGCCTGTTGCAAACCATCGTACAATAACTCCCGTATCTCGACAATGGCATTCGATTTTTCTCTAGCATCGTGTGTAATATGGGCAGCGTCTGCCATGTGATATGCCCTCACAACTCTACGAACCTGTAATGTAATGGTAGCTGTGTTACATAACCATCAATGCCAAATAACAAACATACACAAACTTAAGTAAATGTTGTTTTGGAGAATATAAAAAACTTACCAATCCCTCTAAACTACCCCCAACGCCTTGGTATCCGAAGGCAGCAATGTCACTCGGATTACTAAGTACTAGACGTGTATGATGGCGAAACCATAACATGTATGGGTCCGAAGATGTAAGCACTTCATTGCTCCTCTCAGCATGGACAATGGTGTTGCGTCGGTTGTTCCACTCACCAATAAATGTCTGGTATTCCTTTGCCCAATCAATGGCCATTTTGCCACGCCTATCTCTAAAATGCATAGCCAAGTGGGCGTCAAAGCGATCAGGCACACTCTGAACTCGTCCAAATTTTCTAAGCACCCGGTCAGGGAGATGCCAGTCAATGATAACGAAGCATATAAGTGGCACTCGCGCCATCCATATGTCTCGACCAATGGTATAATACGATGGGAAGCTGGTCATGATGTCATCCTCCGTCCCGTAAGGCTCCCATATGAACTGCAATAGCAATGCAATAATTTAGAGATCTATTCGTACAACGGAGGTTGACAAACAAAAAAATGGGTAAATTCACATGAACAAATTACAAACCTCCCCCTCCACCATGCGGTCGAACTGGTCCCGAAAGATGACACCGACATTAGTCGATATCACCTCATGGCTGAAGGAAACCCTACACCTGCAAGCTCGCGGGCCAAGTGGTAATAGCTGGTCGCCCTCCCCTATGGCACACTCGCCAGCAACAATGTTCGACTTCCAACTAGGGGTGATCCTGCTCAATCTCTCCCACGCCCAAACCTACAATGAATGATGCCATTATTAATTTATTACAGTAGGCACTTTAGAAAACATGGCAATTGAGAATATGAGATAAAACTACAAGTCATTGCAACTCACTTGTAACAACACTAGTGGGCCAGCTATCTCCTTCGTATCAGCCTTAGTTGCCCGACACAACATCCTGTGCAAACATGCCAATGTGGCACCACCCCAGCTGTACTCCTAGATACGGTCAAAGTCTCTAAGTAGTGGCAAAAACATCATCTTGACTATATTTTGTGACTTATCGGGGACGAGTACCCCCCCAATAAGCCACAAAATATAGGCTCGAGCATAATGATGAACTGTCTCATCGGATGCATCATGTGGAAGGTGAGGGAAACGCTCTGATATCCATTTCAACTCTTATCCAAGTCCATCATCTCAACAGAGATCGCACTACTAGTAGAGATCATGACTTGCTAGTTCA